ATTTATGATTACATTGTCACTTTGTAAAGGGCCCCTGAACATGTTATATGAAAGGGCGCACTATACATATGCTGTCACACATTAGTCCAATATTTTAAATACAATGTATAATTAGTACATTGTAGAGTTAGAATAAAAACAAGCCAACAGTGAGGCCGATATCCACCACCAAAATCCACAAATAAATAGATGACACATATTAATTAATCGCACATTTATTTTTTTCAAAAGTATCAAGCAATCAAACTGATTATCAATTATACACTAAGTTTCATCACTCTCAATTAATTAAAACTAAAATTATCGTGTCCCAAAGCATCAACCAATCAAATTGCTTATCTCGAACTCCATCAAGGCATTGACCTAATAAACACCTACACCAAGTTTGAACATTCTAGGTCAATTAGAAGGAGAGTTATTGTGTTCCAAAGTCTCAGCCAATCAAATAGCTTATCATTCTGCTTACCCTGAGCAGAAAATGCTCATTATCGAACTTAGTCAAGGTATTGATGTAATGAAACTATACATCAAGTTCCATCACTCTCACTTAACTAGAACTAAAGTTATCGGGTCCCAAATCATCAAACAATCAAATTGCTTATCACTGCTTCCGCTTAGCAGAAAATGCTCATCTTTGAACTCCATCTAGGCATTGACCTAATAAACACCTACACCCAGTTTGAAAATTCTAGCTCAATTAGAAGGAGAGTTATTGCGTCCCAAAAAGTGTACGGACAGACAGACGGACGAACCCATTTTAATAGTACCCTGCTTTCTTCGAAAGGTGTGGGAACAATAATAACAATATCAAATCAAGCGAATGGATCATGGGGCCAAAGTAATGAGAAATTTTAGTAAATACATTTCATCGATCTAAATAAATTTTCGACCAGTATATCCTTTTTAATTAGACTACTGTTTTAATGTGTATATAGTCTGAGAATCCATATTTGAATTTAGTCTGAAATATGGTGCCTTTAATAACGTTTGATTAATGTTACCATGATGTTACTTGTCAATGATCATTAGGAATCTGTATTCATTTCTTGAACCAGACAAAAACTACTTTAACACTCTTAATTAAATGTGGGTGTTTTATCATCGCTACTAAATTACATCAGTGTTCCTTTAATCTAAATAATGACCTACAACATATTGTACATTTCAAGTGCTTTTGATCACTTGCTAAGAAACAGTTGGCTCTATTGATTAATTGTCTATGTAGAGGCAAATCAAATTAATCATGGCAATTAACATGTTTACCTTGTACTAATATAAATCTCTAGAAAGCCATGGTAACCAATTTAGATTAAGTTGGGGTTATGTTCCAATGCATACCAATAGAAGACAAATTGACTGATAAGATCTTTAAGTTCACAATACAAGCAGGAATAAGAAATTAATATATTGATCCAATTAAAGATAAAAGCCAGATGGTTAACATCTGTAGTAAAAAATATGTTCTATATTTCTGCAAGGACTATTATTATGTAATTAAAATGTAAGAAGAATGAACTGGTTTTTTTTTATAATTATTATTTCTATATCTGCCTAAGACAAACAACTGTACTAATAGGTATAATGAAGATGAACATTTATACGCCATGCAGTATGTGCTATGAGGAAATTGTCATGGGTTCTTTTACATAAGCCCACATAAGACTATGGTGTGAATTAATAAACTAATGTAAATTAACTCAAATTGATCAATTTGAGTATTTTGATTGTGCAGAAATAAAATCTATAACCAATATTAGTATGGTAGGCCTACTTCATGTTGGGTCTTTAAGCAGAATAAGACATTCATAATTTGTCAAACCTCATGTAAATTTACTTTGCACAAGCTACTTAATTTGTTCAGTAATAATATGTTATTTGAGATTTTAATAATTAGTTTATTCTTTAGTGAATAAAAGCAGAATATCTTATTCTCAATCCATTTATGAGATAATTATTTCTGCCGAAGAAGGACTAACCAGTAATATAACTAAATCTCAATTGTATCCAGTTATATTGCATGAATCTAAGATAGAATTTTATAAGATGAAAATTTTTAGTTGAACTATAATCACTAAAAGTAAGAATTTAATCATATGAAAATGTTTATAAAAGGTACCATATTCCAGAGAATCCAGACCAATAGGCAAACTAAACTGTCAAACCATACACAATAAAAAGCATATTGGTCAAAACAGAAATTATTCAAATCAATCAATTTTTGAGGGAAAGTTCTGGCCATCTTACTTTCTGTTGACTTCATGCCCCGATTCGGTTTTTTTCAAAGAATGTAAGATGATGCCTACAAAGCATTTTATTTCTATCCACAAACATTGAGTTCATACTGCCATCTAACATATATACCCAGTACAGTGGTACCCGGTTTAGATTACTACTCTACCCTTATTGCCCTATCCAATGAAGATACAAAAGTGTTTGATTTTTTCTATCCAGACATTTCATTTATTTATGTAAATGCATACATTGGTGTCATGCACAAAGTCAGATATGCTTATTCATCTTAGTATTTTTTCAAAATTATTGTACATGTAGACTTACACACAGAAGATTGACAGAATCATTTATAGGAAAAAAAATTTGTCCAGAAAATCTTTTCCATTTCTATAAATTATCATTAGAGTTTGGCACAAAGACTAATTTATTTACCCAGTGATCCTTTTCATAGGCATATTATCCAGAGCTAATTTAATTGGTGGGTTGCATTCCCCAGTTGTACGTGACAAGGAGTAGGGTCGCCTGTCCAACTTCACGGGATTTCTCTGGGTCCTCCGGTTTCCTCCCACTGCTAAAGACTCTTACACGCAAGTGAATTATTGAAATAAAATTGAACCATATGTTAGTCCCGAAATGATCCAGTTTGTGTGGGACGTTACTCTCTCTCTTTACAACCAGAATATTTTTCGTTATTCAGGATTCAAATAAAATCATTATTTTTTCTTAAAAATTTTGTTTTATTTATATTTATTTGACCTACGAAAAGGATGCTGCTAGCAGTAAAAAATACCCTTTTCACTTGTATGTCATAAAACAATCCATTTTCCCAGAATAATGAATCAGGGTGTGTTTCATAATTCGGGATTCAAATTATGACTTATAAGAAGGATGCCTCAGCAGTAAAAAACACTCTTTTTACTTATATGTCATAAAACAAATCCATATTGTTTTTTGAGCTTGAATAACGAATCAGGAACTGTTTCGTTATTTGGGATTCAAATTTTGAATGACGAATAATGAGACAGAACATGTTTTGTTTTTCGGGATTCATATCATTATTGTCCATGCGTCAAGTTAACTTTTTTATATTTAATTGACTTATAAGACAGATGCCTCAGCAGTAAAAAAAAATAAATCAATTAAAAAAAAACCAGTTACTTGACAAATGGACAATAATGATATAACATTTTCTAAGAAAAAATAATTTTATTTGATTCCTGAATAACCGAACACGTTCTGTCACATTATACGTTACTCAAGCTCAAAAAGCAAAAATTAATGGGCTTTTTTATGGCATAGATGTGAGAAGGTGGTTGTTTACTGCCAAGGCATCCTTCTTATAAGTCAATTAGCAGCCAGGATTGTTCAGTGAGTAAGACGCTGGCTAGCTAACCAGGAGGTATCTTGTTGGCCGAGAAAGTTCATCGAGATTTTCTAGCATGGTTCCCTTTGTCAGTGGTGCTGGTGCTGGTAGAGGTGAGGAGAGTCTGCCAAGGGACAACATATAGTCCTTTGGATGGAATGGAAAACAGGGGTCCAGTGTATGTAAAAGAAACTGTGAATTCGAAATAAGATTAGGCCATAGTTCCACTGTTTGGGCAAAATTGCCCCATATAGCACATTGCATAGCATATGCCCATCTTCTGTAGCACAGTCTGTTCAGAACAGTAGTAAGTTAAATTCCATTTCATTTCATATACTGCTGAGGCATCCAACTTAGAAGTCAATTAAATGAAAAATGCAGTTTACTTGACAAATCGACAACCATGATATATTTTTTTTCAATCCTGAAGAACAAAACATGTCCTGTCTTGTTATTCGTAATTCAAACTCGGATTGTTTTATATGTGAAAAGAGTTTTTTGTACTGCTGAGGCATCCTTCTTAATAGTCAATTAAACAAAAAGAATTTACTTGACAAATGGACAATAATGATTCAGAGGGCTGGGCTGTTAAATGGTCTAGACCATAAGATCTGTCATTGAATCAAGTGGTGTTGTTTAATCCCCAATCTATGCATGACAAGGAGTAAGGTTGCAAGCCTAACCTCATGGGTATTCTCCAGGTATTACTGTTCCCTCCAACAACTAAAGACTCCCACCAAGTGAATTATTGAAATCGATTTGTATGATATATTAATACATAGTTTGTGTAGAGTGTACGTTTAACGACATCTCTATCTCTTTGCTTTAAACACCCACTTAAATGTCAAACTGAATGAAGCCATTAGCTCCAAGTGAATTAACAACAATCTTATATGCATCACGTAGTATATTCATGTCTCATCTCTACGAGTATTCTAGATAAATAACGCATTCTATTCATAGATCACACATCCTCTTAGCACAAACTCTAATCCTATTTCATACAGTTCACCTTTAATTAGCCCCCTAATAGATTCTTTATTGACAGACAGTGTCTACATCCCATCTTCCTTCATCAATAGGAGATAATCTAATTTACACTAAAACCCATCACAAAAACCCTAATGTCTTCATCTGGTACCTGTCAACACACAGATAGACATGTAATGACAGGAACTATCCACTGTTATATTGGTACAATAAGGAGAGTTGTTTTTTACTTTGACTTCTAATGGTCAAGGGATCTTTTTGACATCTTTGTAATAAGGTCTATGATAAAGATAGAAATGTTTTATTGCTCCATGGTCCTAGACATTACTACACCCAGTCCATGGGTCATGCAGAAAAATAGGATGTTAAATGGGACTTAAAACCTTATATTCATTTATTACTCCCAAAAACCTACCTTAGATGCTCCAAACTTCAAAGCTTTAGCTTTAATGGCATTAAAATCTTCATCTTGTCCAATATTTGCCTGAAATATACAAGAATCTAAATCAATGTTGTCAATGCAAGCTTTCGTCAGTGAGGACATAGATTGGGAATAATAGCAAAGTTGATAGAGTTCCTTTGGATTTGCTCCAACTGGAAATCTTATTTCTAAAAACTGAAAACTATTTACTCCTTCATTCAAGGAAATATAACCCGATGATTTGATAGCTGCTTCAATGTGACTGTGACGGATGATGGACCAACAGATGCAGGTGATAGGTTGTCTGGATTATTTTGGATATACAAAGAGGTGTAATGATGGCATTAAAGTGCCTTAGTTTGCACATTGCATTTCTAAGAAAGACGCTACTTCAAGCAATATCTTAAACTACAAATAGCAATAGCCCACAGAACTGAGATTTTATAATAAGATTTACCAAGTAAGCAACAACTTCATAGCCTTGTTCTTTCAGCCACACCAGAATACATGATGTATCTAATCCACCACTGTAGGCTAGAACAACAAGTTTCTTTCTGTCTCCATCAGCCATTATTTATTGAAAATAGACAGAAAATCTAAGACTGCAAATAAAAAATTAAAATATCAAATTGCATGCTGTTCAGAATTTATTATCAATAATTTAATTATTCTACAAAAAATACTTTACTTTTATTCATTTTTCACATTTTAAAAGGTAAAGACAACAATTTATATTTCATATAATATAGGTTAACTCAGTTGTAAGATTGCATATTTTTTGTGTCTCAACATGCCAAGCAAAGACAGGATATAAAAGACCATTATGTTTTTTTGAAGTTTGATATGTTTGATTTTATGTTTATATGAATAAATGACCAACTGAGTGCATCAAGACAACAATCTAATCTTAAAATAATAATTTTTTTTATTCTTCCACATTCCTAGTCTTTTTCAAGAGAAATGGGTTTACCGTCCACTCGACACAAACTAGGTCATTTCGGGACTAACATATGGTTTAATTTTATTTCAATAATTCGCTTAAGCATAGGGGTCTTTAGCAGTGGGAGGAAACCAGAGGACCCGGAAAAAACCCAAGAGGTTGGACAGGCGACCCTAGTCCTTGTCACGTACAACCGGGGATTCGAAACCACGCCAGTTGACTCAATGATAGGCCTTATGATACAGCGCGCACGTTTTAAACAAATTGAACAAACTTTCTATTTATAGATCATACCATCTCTGCGGCAGTTAGTTTTACTTTGTTTTCATGTATATACATGGTGGGTATCTCGTTTCAAAGTCAATAATATCAGCAAAGTACAAACCAAGGAACCAAATGTTGAATTGCTTTGAAAGTAAAACCAGATTGTGCAATAAATTCACCTACATGTACATGACTATATTGTACATTCAATGTTACGATCACATACTTTGACCCAGTGAAAAAATTAGGTTACACTTAAGATAAAAGGCTTATAAATATTTGCAATCCTACATGCAGTTTGGACTACATTATTATTTACATTGAAGGGTGAAGCCCTTTTTTCACATTTTGTAACAATGGCTTTTCAAATAAAGCTCCTCTGGATTTTTCAGCACTGTTTCCGCTTATTTATGTAGATTAAAGCAATATCAACTAATAAAATGAGTTGATAAATGTAATATTATTGTATATAAAAATACCACTTTATTGTCGTCAGTTTGTTCCTTTTACCCTCACCTTCGCATTTATAAATTTTTAAACACATTAACAGATATTCTGCAGCAGCAGTATATAGTGGGTTTTATATTACCACAAGAAATAAAATAGGGTTTAACATCCTACTTTTCTACAACAACCAGGATAATAAAGACAACCCTTCGTCGAATTCCGTGCTTTTACATGCGCCTCAACGTGTACAGGGAACATCAGTTTTCGTCCCATCTGAATGACTAGATGCTGTTTCTTTCCAGGCCCTCGATCCTCCACAACAGACAAGGGAAAACCACTTTGGAACGTATTACTGCCATGAGCTCTTTTACGTGCAGCGACTAGACGCTGTTTCTTGGTGGTCCTCCACCACTGACAGGGAGAAACCAGCTGGAAAAATCCTCATGAACTTTCTTAGCCAACACAGACATCAAACCTAGGACCTCCTTTTTTCTTGTCACCGGAGTTCCAATTTAGATGACTATTGGTATAAAAGCTATACAATCGATATCTATGGTAGTCGAATTTAAGTTACTCCCAGTGTTACATATTGTCTGGTGCCCGTGGCAATTGGATCCATTCGAGTTCAATATATTAATGACTTCTATGAAGCTAAAACGTATGAAACTTCCAAATAATATTTATAGTTCTATTTTGCTTGGAATGTAGTACATAAAGTATGTTTACTTATTTGCTATTTAATATTTTAATAGAAAATAAAAGTAAATATTTAATTTGCAAGGATTTACATTAAAGTAACGAAAGTAAATCTCCTCTATGGAGATAACTCTGATTTGGTAGTTCTAGGTTTGTCAGCCCTGGGCCACGTGGAAATTTTTTATTTCATTTTATATTTCATTTTATTTAGATTTAAAAAATAAAACGTTACTAGTTTTCAAATTTTTAAAAAAAATTTATTTCGAATCAAAATCATTTTTTTTTTATTTTTGGTGATTTTTAAAATTTAAAGTATTTTTTTAGATTAAACAAGCCAACAGTGAGGCTGATATCCATCGCCAAAATCCCAAAATATTAAAAGATGACACATATTAATTAATTGCACATTTATTTTGTTCAAAAGTATCGAGCAATCAAACCATACACTAATTAAGTTTCACCAATCTCTATCAGATAGAATCAAAATTATCTTGTCCCAAACCATCGACAAATGAAATCAATTAGCTCTGCTTAGCGTCAGCTCGAAATGTTAATCATTGAACTCAGTCAAGACATTCACCTAATGAACATCTACATCAAGTTTAAACATTCACCTAATGAACATCTACATCAAGTTTAAACATTCACCTAATAGACACCTACGCCAAGTTTGAACATTCTACCTCAATTAGAAGAAGATTTATTGTGTTCCAAAGTCTCAACCAATCAATTTGCTTATCACTCTGATTACCCTCAGCAAAAAATGTTCATTATCGAACTTAGTCAAGGTATTGATGTAATAAAGCTATACACCAAGTGTCCTCACTCTCACTTAATTAGAACTAAAGTTATCATGTCCCAAAGCATCAACCAATCAAACTGCTTATCTCTGCTTACCCTAAGCAGAAAATTATCATCTTCGAACGCCATCAAGGCATTCACCTAATAGACACCTACGCCAAGTGTGAACATTCTAACTCAATTAGAATGAGAGTTATTGTGTTCCAAAGTCTCGACCAATCAAATTGCTTATCACTCTGCTTACCCTAGGCAGAAAATGCTCATCTTCGAACTCCATCAAGGCATTGACTTAATAAACACCTACACCAAGTTTGAACATTCTGGCTCAATTAGAAGAAGAGTTATGGTGTTCCAAAGTCTTGGTCAATCAAATTGCTTATCGCTGTGCTTACCCTGAGCAGAAAATGCTCATTATCGAACTTAGTCAAGGTATTGCTGTAACGAAACTATACACCAAGTTTCATCACTCTCACTTAATTAGAACTAAAGTTATCGTGTCCCAAAGCATCACCCAATCAAATTGCTTATCCAGGGGCGTACATAACGATTTTGTTTGGGGGGGTGTTCAGCCAAAATGCGACCGACTGATGCATATACCCCCAATACGAGTGACGCAGTCAGGAGCCGCGCACCACAGGTGCGAGTATTCTAGGGGCCATGTGCAGAGCGGGTCTAGAAGCTGGGAATAGGGGGTGAGGTAGGGGTGTTCCAAATCTAGGGTGCCATCCACAATCCCACCCCACAATGAATGTCAACAAAATACTGGCTATAACATTAAGCGTCCTAGTAGAACATAGACAGTATTGTATAATTATATAGTTGTTCGCAGATCGTTGTCTCGCCGGAAAGCAGTTTTATTTAAGTTGACATAAAGTTTATGTCATATATGATGATTGTACCTAGAACACTGAGCAACCTGAAAAAATTTTGGAAAAATTGAGTCGATATCCTAGCACTTTAGGTCATTGCTGGGAGAAAGTCTTATGGACGAGAGGACCAGAAATGTGAGCCAATGTGACATAATCTCGAGATCTGCCCGTCAATTCCGCCTGTTTTGCAAGAGTTGACATAACATTTAGTTTAAACAATATTTTATTCAATAAACTGAATTGGATTGAACAACAGGCAAGGCCTATATAAGTTCTCTCCATTTGTATAGTCTGACGCCCCACGACCCACACACCAGTATAACTGGGCAGTTCACTATAACCGTGAATATGATAGTGCTGAGACAGTATAAGAAAACAGAGGAATAGAAGAATGATGTTAAAACGGAATCGGGCGCCGCAGACGCGAAAAAATTTCAGATATGTAACCAAGCTTTTAATTTTCGGGACTGGGCCTGGAAATTTTAGTCATTGTCATGGCAAATGGAACCAAATTCTCGCTAACGAGAGGATAAGAAAAGAGACAGAATCTTGTGGCCTATCTGTCAATTTCGCCTGTTTTGTAATTGGTTGTTTACCTCATTAATTCATTTAGTCTGAGACCGACTGCGGTGAGTACTTTTTTTGAGACAGACTATTTTTTTGCCATTGGGGAAAAACATTTCATAGAACAACATACTCACAACAGAATAAGAGTGACAAACATTTTTTCAAACATGACAAGCAGACATGGTTATTTTATACTATAGTTTGTGTGACGTATGCAATTTACGCTCACGGATTCACGCAAATACATAGTATTTGGGATCTATTCTGGCATTGTTTGTTTACCTCATTAATTCACTGAGTTGCCGATGCATAATTTTGAGACCGACTGCAGTGACTGCACTTCTTTTGAGACCGACTGTTTTTCTCCCTGGGGGAAATTTTGTTCATAGACCAACATACTCAAAACAGAATAAGAATGAAACACAACATTTTTTCAAACATGATAAGTTGACAAGGTTATTTTATACTAAAGTTTTGCGTGGGTAGCGTGACGTATGCAGTGAGCACTTATTTTGATACCGACTGCTCTTATTTTGCGACCGACTGCATTGATTTTGCGACCGACTATTTTTCTTCCGGGGGGGGTGTACCACCACCCAACACCCCCCCCACATTTACGCCCCTGTGCTTATCTCTGCTTACCCTAAGCAGAAAATGCTCATCTTCGAACTCCATCAAGGCATTGACTTAATAAACACCTACACCAAGTTTGAACATTCTGGCTCAATTAGAAGAAGAGTTATTGTGTTCCAAAGTCTCAGCCAATCAAATTGCTTATCGCTCGTCTTACCCCGAGCAGAAAATGCTCATTATCGAACTTAGTCAAGTTATTGAGGTAATGAAACTATATACGTCCACAAGTTTCATCACTCTCACTTAATTAGAACTAAAGTTATCGTGTCCCAAAGCATCAACCAATCAATTGCTTATCTCTGCTTACCCTAAGTAGAAAAATTGAATGCTCATCTTCTAACTCCATCAGGGCATTGACCTAATAAACACCTACACCAAGTTTGAACATTCTAGCTCAATTAGAAAGAGAGTTATTGTGTCCCAAAACGTGTGACGGACAGACGGACGGACGGACGGACAGATAGACGGACGGACGAACCCATTTTAATAATTGTATGGCTGTTGTGGGCCACCATACTGGTATTATTTGTTTCGTCCTCAGCTATTAAACACAATCCAAACGGCCATGGCAGGCATTGGAATCACAGATGTTACTTAAGCAGTTTTCAACACAATCATCAATGAAATGTAATAATATTTGTCAATTCTTAGCGTTTATAAATCATATTAGTAACGTTTCTACCACTGCCAGACTTACCGTTTAATTAGATACAGTTATTTCCAAATATTTTCTCTTGATCGGTTTAACAAAAGCAACACGCCGTGTACACCGTTAGTGCTGATGCAATCTTTGCTCTCACGGTGTCAACACACTGCGACTATTGGTTGAATCTATTTGTAAATCGGTGAAGGCTGCAACTTGATTGATTTAATAACATAGGCTATTCTATTCCTGTTTAAGGGGTGTCTACAGCGGATAAGCTTCCCACTTTTCTACACCGACCGGGATAATGAGAAAAGGCACACAGTGTACTATGGAGTTAACAAACGTTCATTAAACGTAGGCCAGAGTTTATATTATTTTCTATAATTATATAAATTCTATGGATATTTTTAATAATATATTTAAACTTAATTACATTTATTTGGTTCCAAGATTGATAATAGTAGGTCTTATTAATTATTTGTTTTCAATGCTGACAAGATCCAGGGGCGGATCCAGGAATTTTTGCAGGAGGGTATTTGCCAGGTCCCTTAGAAAATGTATTATTATTATTATTATTACAGCATATTTATAGTGCACCCTTTCATATAACATGTTCAGGGGCACTTTACAAAGTGACAATGTAAATCACACATAAACAACAAGATTATGGGCATGTTAGCGATTGTATACAGAGTCAGTTAAAAGCCTGATTAAATAAATGTGTTTTAAGTTGTTTTTTAAAAGAATATAGAGATGTACAACATCTTAAACTAAATGGTAGATTATTCCATAAAACAGGTGCTTGATAACTAAAAGAGCGCTGACCATAAGAGACTAGTTGAACAGTTTTGGGCTTTAAAAGTAGTTTATCTGATGTACGTAATGTTCGGCCAGGTGTATAAAGTTCTAAAAGATCTGAGAGGTAAACAGGAGCTAAATTATTTAAACATTTAAAAGTAAGTAATAAAATCTTAAAATCAGTTCGATATTTAACAGGTAACCAGTGTAAATTATATAAAACAGGAGTTATGTGGTCACATTTCTTAGTTAAAGTAACAAGTCTAGCCGCAGTATTCTGTACTTTTTGTAATTTATCTATAAGCTTTAAAGGTAAACCAACTAAAAGTGAATTAAAGTTATCTAATCGAGAATTAACAAGTGACTTAGTGGCCTCTACAGTTACACATTTACGTATTTTACCTATATTTCTAATATTAAAAGAGCACAATTTACAAATATTATTTACTTGAGCTCCCATAAGCATAAAACTATCAAAGATAGCGCCAATATTACGAGCAGAATAAGATGAAAATATATCACAATTACCAATTACAACAGGGGGGTTATCTTGTGCAATTTTAGAAAGTTCTTTGACATCCATTTTCTAATTTCACTAATACAGTTCTCAAGTTGCAATTTTGATAAATTGAAAGAAGATGGACAATTAGGTGTAAATGAAATATATAATTGAGTATCATCGGCATACAAATGAAAGCTGAGACCATATTTTCTGACAATATCTCCTAATGGTGACGTATAGAGGGTAAATAAAATCGGACCAAGAACAGAACCTTGGGGAACCCCAGATGACAAAACAGATTCAGACGACGATTTGCAATTAACTAAAATACACTGTTTTCTACCCACAAGATAGCTCTCTAAAAGATTTAATGCAGAGCCACAAATACCGAATTTAAATTGAAGTCTACGTAGAAGAATGGAAGGGTCCACCGTGTCGAAAGCAGCAGATAAATATAATAAAATTAAAAATGTACATTTTCTATTATCAATTTCCATTAAAATATCATTTGAACCCCCCCCCCCTCCCCTCGGCTTGAAATGTTTTGAAAAATACATGGTCTCTATCGTCATTTTGGCGTATATACAAACACATTGAGCTTTTTAAACAGAGAAATCCAACTTCCTGTTTGATGTCAATTTTTATTATGAATCAATACGATTACATTGTGATTCAATATTTTATTGATGCAAAGCATTAATTGTGATATCACATATGTCTATATCATTATCTCGCGCTTTGAGTGCCCATCCTGTCGCACCATCTGACGATAAAGGATAAAGCACAATTATGAAACTTTTCTCATAAAAAAGGTTGTTTTACAAAAAGATTTATGTGGCTGAACAGGGCGAGGGGGGGGGGAACCCCCAAACACACCTCTGGATCCGCCCCTGACTATTTTTTTTTTAAACTCCATTTTCTAAATATTATCTAGGAATACAAGATAACAGTAAACCGACCAAGGGTAGATATGCATGCATATTTTTATTCAGATATAAAAAGTAAAGTATAATTTTAACTAGGAATGTAACTTGATAACATACATTTCATTACCCTACTAGACGTACAAAATATTAAACCAACCTAGTAAGAGAGAAACCAGTCTGTTACTGAAGCCTTGTAATGACGATATTATTTAATAGCTAACTAATAATAAAATCTTATAGGCTGTCTCTATATGACATGCTTAATACATTATTTCAATATTAATACGTACCAAAATTTAATTTAATCAACACGGGACCAATTCAATTGATTTTGTTTTTGCTTATGAAGGCTAAAAACTAATTGTCTGTTTAAAACTGAAATTAATAGCCCTGCTATACATTTCCTCATTTTATGTTCATAATAAGCCATTTACTACTAAAAGTTCCCGCTCACTAAAACGGACAGTTACAAAAATGTCCCCTCGACATTGCATGCAAAAATATAAAATAAAGCCTATTTGTTGGAATATCTACTACGCGAAAATCTACGCACCTTCTATTTAATCCACCCAAACCAATTGTATTTAATGCAATGAACCCACGGACAGATCTGTTAGAGTTGTCGCTGTTCTTTCTATAATAAATATCTTATTAATAAAGACCCCCTGGTATTATATATTTATCATATTAATTGGTGCATTAAATCTTATCTATTTTATTTTATCTTTCCAACATACAGTCTTTATGTGCCAAATTGATTTACCGTGTACTATTCTTATGTTATATTATTATTATCTACCCGCACCCCACCCCTCCACTTAGCCACCCTTCGGGGTTTCATAATTTTTTCTCTGGTCATAAAGGAAATGAAATGGGGTTTAACGTCCTATACTTAACTGTTCTGCTCCTACTGGGCTACGCCATTCAGTGTGCTATGAGGGAAATTTTGACCGGACAGCGGCGCTACGGCCTACTCTTAACTCGAATTCCAACTGCCAAGGGATCTTTTACGTGCACGCTAATGTGTACACGGAACCTCGGTTTTTGTTCCCATCCGAACGATTAGACAGCGTCCTGCACCACTGACAAGGAGGAACCACATCGGAAAATCTCGATGAACTTTCTCGGCCAACGCAGGGATCGAACACTCGACCCCCGGGCTACCGAGCCAGCGTATTTTATAGCCACTTGGCCATAAAGGAGAGAGAGAGAAATGGTGATAAACGTCCACTTGACACAAACTAGTTCATTTCGGGACTAACATATGGTTTAATTTTATTTCAATAATTCGCTTGCGCGTAGGGGTCTTTAGCAGTGGGAGGAAACCGGAGGACTCGGTGAAAACCCACGAGGTTGGACAGGCTACCCTACTCCTTGTCACGTACAACCGGGAATTCGAAACCACGCCAGTTTACTCAATGACAGACCTCATGATACAGCGCGCTCGTGCTAACTATTCGGCCACCCAACCCCCAATAAGGAAATAATTATAATAGTAGTACATATTTATTAATAGAAACTATTACTTTAAATTCGTTATAAGTTGACCTAGATTATTTATGCACATAACTTACCTATAGGTCAACATTCTGTCATCATCCTACATTTGCATAATATTATCTTTCACTCTATTCAACTTGATAATGCAGGATTTATAAAATAACAAGCACGTACCGTCCTAGAATCCATAATAAAACACCACGTCAGTGTAAAGTAAGTATACGGCCCTATACTGGATTCGTTACCGCTTGGAAATAGCGTTCTACCCACTAGGAAATAGTTATAAATACCACACTTGTCGTGTTCGGGTGCACAAGTGGGAAAATCAACATGGCCGTCATTATCCATTCAAGGATTATTAAAACCCCTAATCACCATTTGTGAAATTTAAATCGCTAAAAGCAATATCAGTTCAAAGACGTTTCAGTTCTATTCAGTATTTACAAAGATATGATGAATTGAGAATTTATCATCGTTCGGAATCTAATGCAAACGATATAAACAAGCCAGTGTAACCCTTAAATATTGGCCAATCTTTTGATGGGCCTCTTTTAAATCCAATTAAATTCAAGCTAGAAAATATCTACATATTCCGTTGATGGTCTATTTTGGTTTAGTTTTCTTAATTAAATGTTAAATAATCAATCTAAGAACAATTTATCGTACATTAAGCCGTGAAAAATTAGATAAAAGCCTATTGTCGATTAGCGGCACGATCAATTAGCTTAGCATATGCCTACTACTTGTAATTAGATGGGTGTTTTTCACAAAATGGAGTCAAAACAGTCAACATAATTTTTTGTCACATTTAATGATCTGATGGTAATAAATCTTTCACAGAATTAGATAACAAAGCTTATCTCTCAACCCTCTGTGTTTCGAGATAAGAGATGATGCTATTACCTTCAATGTAGCACATGCGGGAGCGATTCGCACCCGGCATTTGTAAACAAAATTGACAATATTTTTAATCAAAACAACGATTGGTTATTGTTATTATAATATTTCTGCCACACCCAACTACAATTAAGCATATAATACTACCTGAAACGGGTACAAATTCCCTCTTTTTAAATCAAAGCGACAGTATAGATTGCTTTTTCCGACATTTTAAATTTACGTCTGTAACACATAAAGGCGGGGCCCCGTGTGCAATAGCCAATCAAAGTACGCATCTGATCAGAGTTGCGCAGTAGTAATACGGCGTAATTATGAACGTCCGAATCAATTTTGATAAAAAAACAAACAAACAACGCTTGATTTACTTTATTGTCAATATTTGCTGATAAATGAATTTTGTTTCAGTAGATTGGACTGCGTATGTGTAATAAGTACTAATAGTATAAAATTAATTTTTTTTTTAAGATGGTACATACATTAATAATGAAATTGAGTTTGCCACTTGGAACTAAGGGCATCCAATCGTAGCTAAAAACAAGCATATCAGTA